CTTCTTCATGTATATTTTACTATTTTATATATATAAATTATTTTGTATACATATTTTCTCTCTCCAATATAAAAAGAAAAAGGAGAAAGATGAACTGTGCACAAATTCAGCTCAAAAGAATAGGCCTAATATAATGACATTGGCACTAAAGGTTGCTAAAGCCTATTCTATAATGTGTTCTTTGTTTCTTGCTTGTTTTCTCTTTGCAACTGATTTATCGACAATTGTATTTCTTGCTATGTATTTTTTGTTTTTTTCGAAGTTTGTTAACTTTTATTTTGAGCAACATAAAACAAAAAAACTGGATAAGAAACAAAAAGACAAGATGTAAAAAGCAAGAAACAGAAAACAAAAAGCACATTGTAGAATAGGCTTAAAAGTATACAGAATAGGTATCAGAAATTCACAGATCTCTGTATTCTGCTCACCAATCAACAGGCTTGAAAAATTTGATAATGTAAAACCAGATTAACAGAGTAATTGGTACTTTGAGGAAGTCTCATATAAAAAAACATAAGTATTTCAAGAATCTTCATTGGCATCATACAATTTTTTTATAACAGAACACAAAACAAGTAGTGGTTAAATAAACACATTAAACATAAATACAATCGCTTATATTGATTATTTACATTCACATTTTTTTCCCTGATATATTTTCATAATTTCATTTTTAGTAATACTTCTAAATAATTAACATTACAAAAGTATGACAGTCAACATACACATACAGGCACTAATACTACATCATCAATATTCTACGCGCAATTTGATATTCTTCTTTATAGACATCGCAGGTAGCAACGAAATCAATTGTCATGAGTCCCATAACATTTACGAGAAATGTTTCGACGTAAAAACTGTCATAGAAGCTACATTTGTACATTTAAACTCGCGAGAGATCAATGTGCTACGGGTAGGTACGTGACGTTGCGCGAGATTACGCCATGTAATTCTTGGAAGGAGTTGCACCTCTCGCGAATTCTACTTCGGAAGTATTGCGAATTATCATACATTCTACTTACAATCTCGTCAGGCGAGAGGATCCCGAATTGAACGCGTTTTACTGTCCGCAGAGACGCTTTAGAATCAGACGTCGCCATTTTGCTGTGATTCACAGGAGCTCGCGTAAAAGACCTCCAACCATTTCCAGCGCCTGCTGCGACTTGCGTCAGCAGAACTTATGACTTCCCAGCAATCCTAGCTCTGCACTGCCCTACACCACCGTTTTCCCACCGTTCCTCTACCGTTAGAAAAACGTTGAGCCCCACCACTTATGAAGAGAATCTGTTGCACATGCGCGCTGTTTGAGCGGGATATGAGGTTGATGAAAATGTAGGTCTGTTTGTATTGCTTGTACTTTTTGCACTTCATCGATAAAAAAAAAAAAAATAGTTTAATTTTGTTAAGGTTATGAGTGAGCGAGCGAGTGAGCGAGCGAGTGAGTGAGCGAGTGAGTGAGAGAGAGAGAAAGAGAAAAATTATTGTGACAAAGAATTAAAGGGTTAAACTTGTGAATAACATAAAAAATATATGAATTGATTTGCATTTAATTGCACACATAGCGTTTTCCATTGAAAAACTAGAGCATACTGGAGTAATTGAATTTAATACCCACTTTCAGTGCCAATAAATAATTTAACTCTTTTAATTATATACATGTTCTTTGTTGTCGCAATAACTTCTTTCTCATAACCTTAAAAAAATTATCTATTAACACTGGAAATATAATTTGTAACAATGGATCTTTTTTATCAAACCTCGATTAAGTCAACCTATGGTTACATGGGGCTCATTTTAGGTCCAGTTTCACACAACTCATGATTAACTTTTAACCAAAGTTTAACTTATTTTAAGATTGGTGAAAGAGACCCAATATTGGACTAGTTTTTCCAGTGGAAACCGCTATTATTCGATCGGCGAATCACAAATCAAAGCAAAATTTTTGACTAACGTGATTCGCCGGTCAGTCATATCGATACTTTCTCCACTAGATCAAACTGATAAGTTACTAAATTTGCTCCAAAATTCCTAGACTCGTCAATTCGCATGGCAAAAAATTGCACGATGCAGGCTCTCTCTCCAGATGTCTCTCTCGCTCTCCTGATGACTCGATGTCAACATCGGGACCGGAGTGTTCAATCTGATTCTGGGGGGTCGGCCATCTGCTGTAACCACAGCCAGAGCCACGTCATATTTGTGTGCTGCTGTCGAACGAGCTGCGAGCTGGCTCTTTATCTTTCCCCGCGGGTTTTTTTTTACGTAAAGTCACATCCCCGCGGCCGCAGACATGAATATATTCCGATTGCTGGGCGATCTATCGCATCTTTTAGCCATTATCATACTACTCGTAAAGATATGGAAGACACGGAGCTGCGCCGGTGAGTCGGATCGCTTTGATCATATCGTTCAAGGAATGCTAGTGTTTGTGACGTGTTTAATAAATTGTGACGAACGAATGTTGATAAAGGCTCATCTTCAACAGACAGTGATTATCGATGTTTCAACGTTCACAGGTATCAGCGGCAAATCACAGATCCTCTTTGCGATTGTTTATACTACCCGTTATCTAGACCTGTTCACCATGTTTATCTCGGCATACAACACTTTCATGAAAATCGTGTTTATCGCCGCATCTCTCGCCACGGTCTTCTTGATGTATATTAAGTTCAAAGCTACGTATGATCATAATCATGACACGTTTAGGTAAGAAAGAGTACTCCAAAATCTGTCAATAGACCTGTTCTTTTCAGTTCAACTTCTTGCACAATTTATTTTTTCTTCTTTTAATCTGGTTTATGGAGGCCAAAACCAATAAACTCCAAGATAATGATTTTGTTCATGTGATTGTTATCATTATGAACAAAAGCATTGTGCTAAACTTTATTTACGAGTTATGACATAAGACAAAGCTTGTTCTTTTTAGTTAAACTTTGCAAGATTTACTTTCTTTTTCTTTTCACCTTGGAAAGAAAAAGAGAAAAACTGTAAATTCAGTTAAAAAGAATAGGAACTTCCATAAACCAGACTTTTTTCTGTCTCTCTCTTTAATGCCTATTTTTACCAATATAGATTAACTTTAATCTCAGTTTAACTTACTTCTTATCTGGTTCGTAGAATCAGGAAGATAAAAAGTAAGTTAAACTAAAGTTAAACTTGATCTACATTGGTAGAAATGAGCATCCAGTTTCACCAATGTGTTAAGATTAACTTCCATCTCGGTCCAATTTATTCTTTAGCTTTTTCTAATTCTAAGAATTATAGATAAATAGTAAATTAAATTGATTAAAGTTAATCTTACATTGATGGAACTGAACCTAATATCTATTTCTATCAATATAATTGTAATTTTAATTTCAATTCAACTAGCTTTTCATCTTTTTTTTTAATTTTAAGATATAGAAAAAGATAAAAAGTAAATTGAATTAAGATTGAAGTTTCTACATTGGTAGAAACGGTCATAAATCGAAGAAAATGAACGGTGCAAGTTTAGTTAAAAAGACCAGACCTAAAATGATATTCTTCAGTTGGTATTTTCATTAGGAATGTGATGACGATGAATTTTCTTGTTTCAGAATCGAGTTCTTGATTTTACCAGCGTTTATACTAGCACTGCTGATCAATCACGAACTGTCCTTCATCGAGGTCTTGTGGACATTCAGCATTTATCTAGAGTCAGTGGCAATATTACCGCAGTTGTTTCTGGTATCGAAAACGGGCGAGGCAGAAAGCATTACCAGCCATTATTTATTCGCATTGGGATCATACAGAGGCCTGTACCTGTTTAACTGGGTCTACCGCTACTATGCTGAAGATCATTACGACTTGATCGCTATAGTTGCTGGATTGGTGCAGACAGTTCTCTATTGTGACTTTTTCTACCTCTATATTACCAAAGTACTCAAAGGCAAGAAGCTACAACTACCTGCTTAGCTTCAGTTGAGAGTATTATCCTCTTGTATCGGAGAATTGTTCAACTGTCTCTGTGGCATCGCCAATTTGAGATAAATTCGGGAAATCCTGGGAGGCTTGTGAAATGTGCAAGACGATGCACGTTTCCACTAAGTATGAATTGTCTGGCATCCCCTTTCCACAAACTTCCTTCCATCATCCCTCGTACAATGCCATGTGTTGCGTCTCCTTTTTCAGGATTAGAAAATCTAAGTTGCCTCTTTACTATTTTATTTTGCATACTTCATTTCAAAAAATGTACATTACTATATAAGATCAAGTTAGTAGCTACTTATCTTCAAATTCAGAAACAAAATAGGGATAAAAGAGGAGAGAACATAGAACCAGAATTTTCATTTATATTTACAGTTTATATCGTTGTAACTGTCAGTAATAAATATAGTTAATAATTAAATATAGTTACATGATAGCAATATCTTATAAACATTGATCGAAAAATCCAGTTGAATTGCCACTATGGTAATTCAAGAAGAACGCAAACTAATATACTTTACCAAGTCAGTAATGTGAACTGCCTCACTAAGCGTCGTTGATCGATTTTTTACATGTACAACGCCATTCTTAAGACTAGTCTTATCCACTGACACGACGTACGGTATTAGGCACATTTCTACGATTTGTTCTGTATTTGTCAATATGGTAGAGATCCCTCTCGTCCTAAGCATATTGTTTAAGTATAGCACAAAGCGATTCAAGTCTTCTATATCTGAATCAGTCTCATTTTCCTGTTTTCCTATGTGGAACGTGATTTTGTATGGGCATAACTTAGGATGAATATACGCTCTAGTTGATTTATTCAGCATATGGCTGTCACAGAATAACGCCAAGCAGCCCCAATCCATGGAAGCGATATGCTCGATCATATGCACATCCATAACATTATCTTTATTATTTTCAGTCTGTAAATAAATATCCCATTTAAATAATTCTCTCTCTGTCTTTCATAATGTTACCAACATTTTAATAAGAAAGCGTTATACCTGAGGGTATAACTTGCGTACGCCGGGATAATGAGTGATTGTTTCCACGATGATATTTCCAAAGGGAAACTGCGCCTCTATCTCCGTCACATCCAGATTCCTCGTCTTCTTTGCCTCGGCGAGGACGAATCTCGAGGGATGCTGGGCAAGTTTGCGCCACCATACTTTGCGCTCTCTTTGCTTCTTATGCAGCAGATCCTTTGAATCCGACGCATCAACGAACACATTAATCTTGGCGATTCTGTGAGATGGTACCTTGCCCACTGACAGCAAAGACTCGTTCCACACGCTCTTGGATGATGTCCCCAGGGTGGCAAGTGCAAATGGCAGCATATCCATCGAGTTACTTCGCAGTTGCTGCAATGTATCTGCGATTGTGTCACATGGAAACACGTTATAATGCGGCATTGTGACGCAGTGAGAGAACCAGTGTTCTTCAAGATTCTTCAGCATCAGTTTGCCTTGGGATCCGTACACAAACATTCGCTCAGACAGACTAAGGAAATGCGACCCGACAGTCTTCAGTACAGCTTCTAGACTCATTGTTTAGACTCACTTTCTTTCTCCTTGCTTGTCGTTAACGGCGCGACAAAATATTCCTCTTCTAGCACCGCGGCGTTCCTCAGTATCTCACGCCGATCGACGTCGTGTTGCACCACGTCGTCCCGCAGATGAATGCAATCGTTCTCCAGGGTACTGTACATCGGACGTACCGTCTCGTCGATATGGACCGTCCGCAGCCGTTCGGCGAAAGCTATCGCTTCCTCCAGCACTCTCTTGCTCTGCTTGAATTCGAAGCCGACTAGTGCCAACCTCTCGAGCCTCCTGATTGTGGCCTCGTCAATAGATGGTCTCTTGTCACCGCCAAGCTTGCTGTTGTTATTATTCTCCTTCACTTTATTATTGCTCTCTGATTTTTGTTGTTGTTGTTGTCTCGCGAATACCGTCGAAGAATTGAATGTGCTAAAAGATGGAACAGCGTTACCTCGAAGCAGAAAGACAACACCTTCGTCGAAAAGTCTGTATGCTGGCTTGACTTGACGTAACATGGCCATACTCGACGACGACCTATCAATGATATGACATTCAGATCTAACTCCTTTTTTTTTTCAAGATTTCGAAGCCTCAGATTTCAGCATTTTTTGTTTCGATTCCTTTCAGATACACTATATATTTGTAACCTTTCGTCTTCGCCTTCAAGTGCACGTGTTCTGGTTCTTTAATTAATGCCACTTAGAGAAATAGAAAGGGTCAATATGACCAAAACAAGCAATCTGACATGCAGAAGAGCAAAGAAAGGAGTAATGATATTTTCACGTGTACATATTATCAATTTTGTTCCTTATGTAGGATTCATATTTTACGTAGCGTAAAACATCCGACGTATGACCTTCAATATCCAATAGGATTATAGGAGAAATTCCTTATGCATTAAAGATTGAAATTAAAAATTAATGGTGGCCACAATAGAAGAAATAAGGAATTAGGAATAAGGAATAAGACTTTCAACCTATCAGATATTGGGTACACTGAAATATATGGTTTCTGATAGGTTGGAATTCTTATTCCTTATTTCTTCTATTGTGTGGCCGCACCATTAATTTTTAATCTCAATCCTCAATGCATAGTCTGATTCCGGCCTTACTGATTACGGTCGTACTTTTTTCTGTGCTCCCGGCTTTAGTGAGCGGTGGAGCAACTTAAAATTAAGACTTAAACACAATAGGCAACAGGAAATAACGAGCCGTCCAATCAGAGCTCTGGGATATAATATCAAACTTCTACACCAGAGCTCTGATTGGACAGTTCGTTATTTCCTGTTGCCTGTGCCTATTGCCCACTTTAAGCCTTTATACTCTAATAGCTGCGTTCAGCAGCAAAGCAGCTTTGCAACTGTTGTAAAATTCTTCAATACGATTGGTTCTTACTTTTAGTTCCTTATGGATCTAAACGTATAAACCAATCATGGCCGTGTTCCAATTTACTGCCAGTAAAAATGCTACAGTTACGTGCACTATAGATTTTTAGTACTGGCAGTCAATTTTGAAACATAGCCTATATTAAAGAATTTTATAACAGTTGCAAAGCTGCTTTCTCTGCTAAGCCCATTCTACATTAAGCTGCGATTCTACATTAGTTGCAAGTTTGTTGCAACAGCCAATATAAAGCGTTGATTTCAAAATGCAAGTTTCGGATTGGCTATCGCAACAAACTTGCGATCAGCTTCCGTCTAATATAGAATGGGCTCTAAACGCAGTCATTTACTATCAAGTGCATTCCACTAACTTTGGGGCAAGCATTTGATTGGTTGTTCTAGTTTAGTCACGCCATTAGGCGCAATAGAATACCTTATGGCTGAATTCGGAGAGACGCTATTAACACTATTTGTGTCATTCTATCTTCATCGTTCATTAAACGTGAAACAAGGACAGTATAACACAAATAGCGTTGATAGCTCTCCGAACGACCTTATATTTTTATACCATAGATCAGTTTTTTTTTTATTCCTATACTCTCTGAACAAGTGCATTCGATGCAATAAGTTGAAACGAAACAAACGTATATTTATTTTTCCATTTATTTCACTTCAACTTATTGCACCGGGTGTACTAGTTCAGAGAATGCAGGAGTAAAAAATAGACCTTATATATATGGTACCATCTATGGTACCATCATGTCTAGTGTCTTAGCTGTTTATTGTCTCGTGTATAGAATTCGATTGAATTTTGCTGGCTCTGCTCGATCGCGAGGTTATTACTAACTGCAGGAAATAATAAACATCAAGTACGTATATGTTATTTTAAGTATTCTTGAGTTTTTATTATTTTATCTCGTGCATGTAGCGTACACGTGATTAACCGGTTTTCGAAGTTATGTATAATGCACAAGTCTAAAATGTGTAGAATAAAATTTGTTCATATGTGAGGGTTTGTTTTTGGGAAAATTTTAATATTCTGGTACATGTGTACAATTTAACGAATCTTGCTATAAAATTATCTCATAATTGTATTTATAATTTTATTGAGTAATCGAAACCTACAAATATTCACGCACAATTTTATTATTATTATAAATTGTTGAAAATACTGTTTGATAACAAAGTCTTATTATATGAAATAAATGTTAATAAATTCTGGACGTATTTCTTCATGTATAGTGAACTCATCCTTTTCTGTTTAGCTGCAAAGTATGTTGCTACAACATAGTGATTAATAAAAGTAAAAGATACACAATAATTAAATAGATTAAGTTTCAGATATTATTTAAGTATTTTACTTAAATAATATCTAGTTTATTTAAGTATTTTATAGATTAAGTTACAAATGATGCGTTACAATAAATATATTTGTAAATAGAATTTTACAATATTACAAACTATACAGAATATAATAATAATCATACATTGCACAAAATATAAGTTTTAAAAACACACACGCATGCACACACATGCACGCGCGCGCACACACACACACACATACACTTTACTTTACCAATAAAAGTAAAACCAATTACATAAAACGATTCTTAATTTTGTGAAGATTTAAAATTACCTTTATATTATGTACATTTTTTTATTTTTAAAAGAATTGAACAAAATAAATATGTAAAATTATTCTTTAAATTGTGGGAAAATTTAATTTAAAAGAATAAAAATATTGATTCTTTTTTTTATTATTTAAAATTCTTCTGGTATGTCAAAATATACTTTTATATCTATAAAATAAATAATTTTTAAAAAAGTAGAATATGAAATGTACTTAATGTGACATTAAATCTACATTTAATCTTTGCTTATACATTTAATAGATGTTTAATAAATATTGAACCATTAAATTAAAGAAATTAAATCTACATTGCATATACATTGAATCAATGTTGAAGCAATGTTGAATTATAATATCTATAAGACATGGAATCTATATTTCGTGATGTTGCTACAACGTTTGTAATGTTGCAATTCAACGTTTTGGTGGATACATTTCTGCAATAATATCAAAAAACGTTTCTATACGTACATCTAACTCATTCACACGTTTAAAAAGATATTCACTAAAACACTGAAGAGAATAGGACGCAGGTCTTGGCATATGTGCTCGAACCTCTCTCCAGCAAGATTCAATCTCTCGAATATGTGTGTCTACAAATCAAAATAAATACGGTAATACTTTGATATAACTACTACTGAAATTCAAATTTATATATTTTACCATCTGCTATCTTATCAGCTTTGGGATCAATAAACTTATATGAATGCTTTCTTTTCAGGCTTTTGAAGCTTTTGTCATTAACACAATTATAAGTTTTCCAAAAATATGTAACGATACTTGTTCCGGGATTTATCCATTCCTTTATTGTTTTTAACAATGATTCTTTCGTTCCAACTTCAACTGGTACAATAAAGATCCTTCTCGTTTCTCGTTCGAAGCCACCATATATCCAGTCACCTTTAATCTTTTTAGTCACATCACAACCCTTTCTTCTACCAATTTTTGCTCCATCGATTTCGACAGTCATTCCTGGACCTCCAAGCTTTTGACTGCGCTTTTTCGCCCAGTATACACATACCTATCATATTAATATAATTTATATAATTTAGATTGTACATATTTATGTATTACACATTATAATTATAGATATATTACCTCTCTACAATATTTTATCCACTCATTAATCGTAGGTACTGATAAACCAGTTTCGTAACGCAAAAATTTTTGCCGCGTACGTGGCACCATAACAAAATATGCTGTGAGTCTGCATATTATTTGCAGGTCTGTGTCGAGCCTATCAAACCATGTTCCCTTTGTGGCACTTCTCTTAAAATTGCATATTGCGTTTAGGCTTTTTTTATTATTTTCTTTTTCAGTAATGGTTTTTTTTTTACATACAAATAGCAGTGTTTCTTCATTTAAATCTATAATTTCTTTACAGTTATCACAATTCATTGTAGCTACTAATAAATGATGTTCAACTAAAAAATCTATTAAATTCTCTTGGGAATACGTTAAATGAATGTATTTGGACAATTTCATTTTTTTAGAGCCTTTAGTCTTACACACACGCTTTGTTTACGTCTTTAACAATCACTTGCGCTTACTATAGGGATGACGATATAGCGTCGATATTCCGTAATATCAATATTTTTGAGTTGAGATATCGATATTTCAGACTTCGATATTTTGAAATATCGATGCTAAGTTTAAATTGTATCGATATTCGATACAAGTAAAACTTCGGATATTTTCAATCATAAATTGTGCACAGCTTGCTAATTTGCTATTATTTTATAATCATTAATTTTGTATATCTGTTATACAAAACAAACGTTTTATTTTAGTTTTTAATGTAAATGTAATTAAGCTTATAAAATAAATTAAAAATACAATTATACAAACGTATTATAATTTTTTGCTAAAAAAACATGATTCGTGATTGTCAATATTGCGATATTTTGTTCACTGATATTTAACTGTATCGATATTTAAAACAGCGATACATATTGATATAATTTCGATGCAATAGCCCATTCCTAATTCATTAAGGGCGAGTTAGGATGAATTTAAATCGGCAAAGCAGCTAGATCTGCTTGATGAGCGAATGAGCATAATTATTGGTTCTTATACTTGTGTATCAAACCAATCATATTGAATTGCTCAGCGAGCAGACCTAGGGTCGATTTCACCAACATCAGTTAGGAATCATTTATATTGACCGTAACTGTATGCCGTATCCGTTTTACAATCGAATGAGAGGGAAATACTCGACTAGTAATTAGGGTTAAGACAAAATTCCTGTTACAATAAGCGTAAAGTATAAACTTAAGCGGATGAGCCAATCAGGATACTGCTTTAGATTTACATATATATAATCCGACGGAAATAGAAATAGTAGTAAACTTATCCGTAAGAAAAATTTCAACCGGTTAAGTCAATTCTTGCAAATTACAGAATATGATTACGACCAGTATAATTAATCCCTTTTTGTATAATCTTAAAGATAGTTTATAGTTTTCTTTAAGAAAAATTCCAAAAAAGGCCTTATTTTTGTAATTACACCAGAATGTATCCTTAAGCTGGAAACACAATGAAAAGCATATGCAATAAGAACAGGAAATAACAAATTTCAACCTATCAGGAACCATATGTACTAGAATGGACGCTTTCTGATAGGCATGCATTTTTTTTTATTCTCTTTTCCTATGTCTATGCTTTCATTGTGTTTCCGGCTTTATTCTGTTCCAACCTAAAAACCACGTTTCTTAAGAATTAAGAACTTAACCTAAAAAGGAATTACTTTAATTTTTCAAGATTTTAGTTTTCAGGATGAATGACTGTATTTTTATTAAAATTCGAGGTTAAACTGAAATACTTTGTCAATTCTTAACAATGGGGAAAAAAGGTTATAATTGGAAGTCAAGAGCTGTCACAAATGTCGATGTTGATAATTCCACTACTAAAAAGGTAAATTTATTATATCCGTTTTGCGCTTCTTTATGAAAAAGATAAATTATTATATTTATGTGATTGTAACTTGTATTATATATTACTATTATATTGCTCAAAATGTTTATTAAAATCATTTGTTGTTGCTTTAAATATATTGCATATTGAATACATGTTCCAGATTGTATTAGACATCCAGCATCGCGTCGAGAATTATGACAGTTGCAATGCACTTGTCTTACCCTCTCAAAAGAGAAAAACAAAAAACATAGATAAGAAAGTAGCAACTACTCGATTGTTATCAAAGAAACGTAGAAAACAACTAGAAAAAGTAGTTGAACGAAAGAAAAAAAAGTTACAGGTATTTTAAATTTATGTTTCATATAAACACACACACACACACAACACTCTCACACACACACACATAACATAAAACCTTTACTTAAAATATGATATTTA